CCTTCGCTGGGAAAGGCAAGGCGGTGTCTCGGAATGAGCAACCTGGCATGGTTTCTGTCTCAGGCAGACAATAATCTCCACGGTGCTAACTTCCAGTCCTTTTTCATGATATCCTCGTTCGCAGCTCATAATGCTTTGTTCATACCCTGGCGCCACGGATCCTCTACTGCTGCCCGCAACGCATCTTCTCCTCATCTTCCACCTTTGTCCCGCAAGCATCTCTGTGATAGTCTCATGTTACCACGATTGATGTGATTCCTTTTGCATCATCGGGCCCTGCCCGTCTGTCAGGATCAACCCTGAAATCCAATGGCTCCTGCTTGATACGGATCATTCCTCTGATCAAATGGTATCATTCGGGGGCTCTACTTTCATTTCTACCAACACTGCATGGCAAGCAATATTCGATCATGTTTTCTAACATCTTTTGTATCAACTACCTGTCTCTCACTCACTTCTATTGTCTGTCTTTTTTTCATCCTCTCCTCTTTCCTAGTGTCATGTCTCGACAGCCCGTTCTGTTGAGTCAAGCTTTCTAGCTTGTGCATTCTGATTTTTGGTCATGGAGAATCAATTGGTATCGACCAACCTACTTGCTTCGACATGACCCACAACTTTCCTGTATCAAATATTTCTACCGCTTTCTCATTTTTTTTGTTCCCTTTGTGCAAACTTCATACTGCTGAACACTCACCTACTACATCTGGATTTCTTATCCAGCCTCACTCTTTGACTGACTATATTTCTTTCCTTGCCCTTTCCACATCTTTTGGCTTAGCATACATTGTCTGGTTGTTTGGCATCATTGGGCCTCTGTTTGATTTGTATACATGGACGGGAGAAGCGACTTGTGCGCGTGAGCAGGTTCGAGCGACTTAATTCTGTTGGTGCTTTCCCACTGATATTCTGCTTTTTCTTTTTTTTCCAGACGCATTCCTCTTATCTCATTGAGCTCGTCTTTCCTTTAGAAGATTGATAGAAGACGCACAGCAAGTAGAGAATTGATACCATCGTCGCCTTTTTTTGTTCAATGAATTAATGTCCTGATACTCTAGAGGTCTTATCTTTAGACTGGAAGCATACGTAGATACTAAGTCCACATGTAGTAGCAATCACCGACTACTCAGATATTCAAGGGGATAAAAGACATCCATAGAAATCTACTACTACTACTCCTACTCCTACTCATAAATTCAAGGGGGAAGATTATATTTCAGCCCACAAATCCAAATCATAATTCATTTCGCACCGACACTACTTTGCCTAAGTGGGTATTTCCATGTTCAAATTGAACAACCAGCGTAAACGAGCAAGGAAAAAGCATCAAAGTTGAGCAGTAAGCAGGAAAACACCTCAATAGAGAAGAAAAAAGAAAATAGAAGAAGGTTCATCACAAGTTAGAGAAGAAAGAAGAAAGACAAAGGAGCATTAAAGAAGAGAAGGCAAAAAAGTACGCCATAGGAAGATAACTATGGCTTGGCTTTGAGAAAAGGGAAACAGGAAAGAAGGCAACGTGAAATCGCGAAGATCGACCAGAGGGTGAATAGAAAGAACACAGATGACGCCATAGCAAGATGCATGAAAAGTTCATCCGTTCCGATGCCATTCACGGACGAGTCGTTAGGATGTGAGTGAGAGTGGGCTGGGGAAGAGAAGTAAAACACAAGAGTAAAAGTAAAGATGAGAAAAATAGAGAAGAAAAAAGACCGCCTGCCGCCTCCCGTGAACGCCACCTCAATCCAGTGATTCAATCATTTCTGGTAGTTGCTGTTAGAGACACTTTTGTTTTATTATGTTTTGGTGTTGGGGTTCGAAAGTTGTGGAGGGAAATCGATAGGTAAAGTTGAGTGCTTTCGTGCACCCCAATCTTCTGTGAGTTTCTCGTCTGTGTGAGAGATAAATCAAAGCTCATAGCGAGCACCGAAAGTAAAGCGCGCGCGTGAAAGTCGTAACGGAAAATAGCGAAGTCGCGTTATTACTCGGCCTTGCCTTGGGTAACCTTAGCAGCCTGGATAGCGGACATCTTCTGGGTCCATCCTTGAGTGGGCTGAGGTTTCTTGACAGTGCGCAGGTCGTCCGTGGAGAATCCAGAGATACGCATATTGTACTTGCGCTCCAAAACAAGCTGAATATCGCGGATCTCGAGAGTCGAGGACGGGCGCAGTTTGGCAAGACGGCAGGCATCAGTGATCACATCGTCAACAAAGTCATCTGCCATTTGAAGGATGAACTGCACACAAGGACAATTAGACTTTTATTGATTCTGAGAAGAATTATGGGAGATAACGCGACTTACCTCTTCGGCATCAGGAGTGAGTCCTTCACCTTCACCACCTCCAGTGACCTGACGAACAAGAATATCCAGCATCTTCTTGCTCAACACGCGCTGACCTTCACCCTCGAGCACGTAGCCAGGGTGTTTCTGAATTGCAGGCTGATTCATGACACCAACTGCGCCGTGACTGGGTCCGCCAGACAACGTGGGTCGAGCAGGAGCCATGTTAACGGGCTCTGGAGGAGGCACGTTCAAGTTTTTCGGAATTGCCATGTTGATGCTACGCGCGTTAGTATCAGCCGAGCGGTTGGGGATGTAGCCCTGGGGGTGAGCGTGAGTGTTGGCCCCAGGCTGGGTAACGTTTTGCTGCTGGTTCATGTTGTTATTGTTGTTGACGTTGTTGTTAGAGTAGTTCTGCGCAGCTTGAGCCATGGCAGCCTGCTGAGACAAAGGACGAGGTTGGACCATGGTCTGAGCCCCAGGAGGAGTGGGAGTTGAACCGTCCACGTTGGGGACTTGAGTGAAGGTGACCTGTGAACCGGGTGGGCCCTGCTGTGACTGTGTCTGGACCTGGACCTGGGCCTGCGGCTGTTGCTGAGGTGCTTGCTGTGGCGGCTGCTGCTGCTGCTGCTGGGGCACAGCAGAGACGGCAGGCGTGGCGCCCTGTGTGGTTGGCGTCTGACCAGGCTGTGAAGTCGAAGGCGACATCGCAGTCTGTCCCGCCTGGTTGCGTGCAGCGGAAACTGCCGAAGTTATGGTGTGAGGAGCCGGAGTAGGGGTCTGGCCTGGATGCATGGTGCCGGGGACACTTGGTGGACGGCCGTCGGCGGGGCCAGCAGCTGTACCGGGCGCAGCTTGACTAGGAGCTTGTTGAGGATGCACTTGAGCAGGAACATGTTGCTGGACACCAGCTCGCTGTTGCTGGGCCTTGAAGGTATCCTGCTGTTCCTTGAATTTGTTCAGGAAGTCGCTTCCCTCGCGGTAAAGCTTCTCCGCCGCAAGTTGCCGGTTCTTGAACTCCTGCACCTCCTCCTGGGTCATATTTCCCGCCGACTGACGCGTCGCAAATTGTTGTCTGAGATCCGCGATCCGCGCCCGTCCGATCTCCTGCTTCTGAAGCGCGATGCCATATCGTAGTTTGGCTTCGGGGAGCCAGGTCTGGGCCTGCTCGTTGCTGATGTTCGGAGGGAGGAAGAACTGCAGCGTGTTGACCTTCTGCTGGATCTGCGGGAGAAGCTGCGCGAAATTCTGCGGATTGACCGACTGCGACCGCTGGACGGGTTGACCTGGTTGCGCAGCGTTTGCCGCTTGCAATTGCTGGTGCTGCATTTGGCGGCTCTGCTGGAAAGCGCGCATGCCTTTCATGAGATTTTGAGAGATCTGGGTCAGTCTCGCATGAGCCTGTTGATACTCGGTAGTCTGCGGTTCCCGACTATTGAGATGCTCCCACAAGGTCCGCACGAGCTGGGTGTGCTGGGCTTTTTGCTGGTCGTTGAGATGAGGGAGCTTCTGGACTTGGTCGGTTCGGATCAGGTTGGAGTGCTGCGGCATCATCGGCTGGGCTGCAGGAGCTTGGGGTTGAGCAGCCTGGGGCTGTGCCTGTGAGTTGTCCATCCTGACAATGATGGTGATTGGGCTGCGTTGTGGGGGGAAAGTGAAGACAGCGATGGGGGGAAGAGGTTGGATAACACTGTTGGGGATAGCGGAGAGCGGGTTTCTCAGGCACGTGTCCCGAGCGCCCCGATAGGCGTTAAAGAAGGTAAAAGGGGATCGGAACGAAACGAGATTAGATGAGATTATGCCTAGGAGCAAAGGCTTTCACAAAATCGCAGCTATATCTCGTCTGAGAGGAATGGAGGAGCGGAGCGGAGGGTTGATGGGGAGGAAAGAAGTGAGAGATTTGGAGATGGCAATTGGGGGTCGGCGAGCCTGAGGCTTGGCACAAGTGCTCACTGCCGATTCTCAATAACGAGCAAATGAAGTGAGGAGAGCCAGTAACACTCAAGTCCCTTTATAACACTTGCTCAACAATAGTTCTGTGGAACTGAACAACGTTTGTTTTACGGATCACTTCGGCTTTTTTGGACACTCTCATACAGTGACGTATGGAATGAGAAACGTCTGAAGCAGCACTGATCTAATGGTTCGGTCTCCTGTTCCGGATGGCGTGAAGCTCTGACGGTGCGATGAGGAGACGCTTTTATATACGCTGTTGCGTAACTAAAGTAAGGCTTACTGAGTAAGAGGGAGAGTGAATAGAGCTCCAGGGGGAAATGCCGATTCTACAAGAGATGAAGCCAGGGCTAGGCGATGGTTATAACAGCTCACTTAAATAATGAATTTTTTTGATTCAACAAAGTAGCACAAGACCGAACGTCTCCTATAATAATAAAACCTCTTGGTGATATGGTGATTCTCCTTGGAGGCTTCCGAGACACTCAATCGGTGCGGATTGGTCATGCCTATACACAAACTGATCGACATCTTTGATGTGCAATGTACCAATCTATTGCTCAAGTCAGCCGCGTAATGCCTGTATGAGACGCATTGAGATGATGCACCCAAAGGGCTAGCAAGAAGCAGCTCATCTTGACAGCTCAGATCGCGGTACGTTCTCGGTAAAAGTTAATGATGATATAAGCGCAAGCATGCAGTCTTGATGAGTCTCCGTGGCCGGACTTGGCCGGACCAGAAGCTGCAGAACATCTAGCGATATTGGCAAAAAGCCAAGATGGGGAGAAGCCGCACGGCATCCATCGAAGCTGGGATGGTTTGTCGGGCTAGACGTGGTTTTCAGGGAGACTTCCTGTCGTACCAATGATAGCCATCTGGATCAGTCATAGTGGGAGTGGTGCCCGCCCTATCTGTATGGAAACGGCCTGCCTTCTGAATATTAAGGCGACGTTGTGAGCACCTGACATCACGGTCTCGCTGGAAATGGCGAACAGAACAGAGCTTCCTGAGCTCTCAACCCAGCAGCCCACCCAGGTCTCGTTCCATGCCGTGAACACGGGCTTCTAAAGTGCGTTTCTTTCTCTCCAGCTCGCGGATCTCCGCCATCTCTCGCTCAAGGTCAGCATCCGTGACATCAGCCACCTCGGGCGGTGTAGAATCGACACCATCATATTCATCAAAGTCATCTCCATAGGAGTGGCTCATCTTTTCCAACTCTGCAGTGTTTCTGGCCACACGTGCCTCTAATTCGTTGATGGAACCCGAAATCAGCTCGTGACGATAACGTAGACTGGCAATCTTCTCATGTGCACCAGCGACAGGACTTTGCAGGTAGTCAGTAATCGTAAGCATGACATGGAACTTGAGGATCAAGGATGAGCGTACTAGACATTGCAGAGAATCTCTGCGCCCTGGAGTAGAACGTCGACATTGACTTCACCACGACCCCTACTGGACGTGCCAGCGGATCGCTTGATCTCCTCCATCATATCAGCTCCCAGAACCCTTGCGACAGCTGATTGACTCTTGTTATCTCTAGCGGAATAAATCCGACTTGCCATGGACTCGCCCTCTGAATCTTGCGCAAACTGTGTGCCACGCCGGGTAGGACGTCGCTGGGAGCCGACGGATTTGACGGAAGGATCAGATTGGAAGAGAGCCCGTTCATGAGCCTCCGTATCTCGAATCAAGGAGGTGATATCGTGGGGGCCTAGCAGCGCGTTGGTGAAGATCCGTGGTTGGGGAAACCTGGGGCAGAAGCAATCAATGCCGGGTACGAAGTAAGGTGAGAGGGGGATGCATACGGTAGCTCCGCAATGGCATTAGAAGACAATGCGATCTGCTCTAGATGACTTTCAAGAAGCGACATTTTTCTTTTCTCTTTTCTGGGTCGAGGGGTGTGGGAATGGTGATCTTGTGCTTCAGGGAGTAAGTTTGTTATCGCTGCCGGGGGGGGGGGGGGGGAATAGAAACAACAATCAATGACTAGACTAGCAAGCAACTAGTAAATACATTGACTGGTCAAAGCAACACGGGTAAACACGCCAAGCAGAGCTTCCCAGCTGTTTCTGCCTCAGGCGGTCTGAAACTGGCCGGGAATGAGGATTTGGTGGCAACGCAACCCCGAACAACTAACTGCCTGCGACCGAAATTCTCCAGCAATTCGGACCTTCTTCTTCTTCTTTACCAGCAATCGGATTAAACCCCTTCCCACACGACCATTGTCTCACTTCCGAACCACCAACCAATTTCTCTTGCTCCGCTATCCAGTCGTGACAGAAACCCGACAGCGCGTCACGCCGGTCTCACAGCTGACCGATTGCTCCGTTGGTAAGCTCGAACCCCCAACTGGCCCGACACTGACTAAGCTCCCTGTGCTGGTTCTCTCGCTGTCCATCCAGAGCCAGCCTTGACATCACATCACCACCTCATCAACCATCTGCTCCCAAACCTCAACCCAATCCCCCATCCTTCATCATCCCCCGCCCCGCATCTTGGTCCTTTTGGCTTCGCTCGCTGTGACTCTTGTCCTTTTCATTCTTGCATCCCCGGACTCTGGATAGTGGTCTTTCATCCAAAACCCCCTTCCTGTGTCTCCGGTACCGCGGTCCCCAGTGCTCTCCCTGAGCTCCATAGCTGGAAAAAAAGAAACAGACAAGAACCTCCAACGAAAGATGCCGGCTGAAAGGCGCTCTCTGAGATCGAACAGCAAGTCAGATACCTCTTCATCTGCTAACGGTGAGAAGGGACGTTCCACTTCGCAGAGCTCTAGTTCCAACAAAGATAAGCCGGCGCCTACCCGCGCTGCTGCCAACAAGGCCAAAGCTGCCTCTACCACGAAAGGCGCCTCGTCGAATAATACTGCCAACTCCGGAATGGGTGAGCAGCGTGATCAGCCGCGTGCCAACGGGTCCGACCCGACGGAGAATGGCGTGAATGGCTCGGAAGATGTTGAGATGGGAGAGGATACGGCAGGTGGGCCTACATCCTCATTCAACGCCAGTCAAGACCGCAAGGGTGACGAGAAGATGACTGTTGTAGTGCCCCCTACCAAGGGATCCAGGTTATCCGGCGAGAAAGGAACGGATAAAGAAGGCGACGTCGCCATGGAGGGTGCTGAAGGCGAGGATGCCGAGCCCGAGGTTGATCCCAAGACCAAGGCCATCCAAGGTTGGTTTTATCTGTTCTGGCGTTTATCCGCCCAGCGCCCTGTACTAATGCTGCCATGCGTTTCATGTAGACATCAAGACCAACTTTACCCTCCTCGAGCGAGCCGTTACCCACTTCGACCCCAGATTCACCCTCCGCGTCCTGCGCTCGATATCGTCCATGCGCAAACACATCACGGGTGATGTGCTAGCAGAAGTTATCGAGGAGACTTACTCATCGTCAAGTGTTACCGCCTCATTCTTGTTGAATGCTCTTGACCAAGCAGGTGCCCTGGGCGGTGCTCGGTCCAGCGCGAAGATGGAGATTGAGTCGGAGAAGACCAAGTCTGCTCCCAAGGAGACCCTGCCCGAGGTGGATATCTATATGTCTATCCTCGTCCAGATCTTCTTGTATGACAAGAAGGAGATTCAGCTGGGTGCCAAGTTTTCGACGAACCTGATTGAGCGTCTGCGGACGCTTAACCGCCGTACCCTTGACTCTCTGGCAGCTCGTGTCTACTTCTACTACTCTCTCTTCTATGAGCAGATCGCTCCCCTTCCCCCATCGCCTGCTGCCACCGTGACTAAGATCCGCCAGCCCTTGCTCGCAGCCCTGCGGACGGCAGTGCTTCGCAAGGATGTAGACACCCAGGCTACCGTGATGACGCTACTGCTGCGCAACTACCTATCTACGTCTCACATCTCACAGGCAGACCTTCTCATTTCGCACAACAAATTCCCCCCATCGGCGTCCAACAACCAGATCGCCCGGTACCTCTACTACCTGGGTCGCATCCGGGCCATTCAGTTGCAGTACACCGATGCCCATGGGCACTTGATCGGTGCCACTCGCAAGTCGCCTTCCAGTCACAGTGCGCGCGGTTTCTACCAGGCTTCTCATAAACTGCTCGTCGTGGTGGAGCTCCTCATGGGTGACATTCCCGACCGGGCTATTTTCCGACAGCCCGCTCTTGAGCGCGCCATGCACCCCTACTTCCTCCTTGTTCAAGCTGTCAGTGTGGGTGACCTTGATGGATTCCTCAACATCGTCAACACCCACAGTGCGACGTTCCGCAAGGACGGTACGTACACTCTTATCCTGCGTCTGCGCCAGAACGTTATCAAGACCGGCATTCGTATGATGTCTCTCTCCTACTCTCGCATCTCGCTCCGGGATATTTGCCTGCGTCTCGGACTGGACAGCGAGGAGTCTGCCGAGTACATTGTGGCCAAGGCTATCCGCGACGGCGTGATTGAGGCCAGCTTGGACCACGAACATGGATTCATGAAGAGCAAGGAAGTGGGAGACATCTATGCGACCAGGGAACCCGGAGAGGTGTTCCATGAGCGCATCAGAGCTTGCTTGAGTCTCCACGACGAAAGCGTCAAGGTGAGTTTCTACGAGAATATATCTTTGTGCTCTACAGAGAGTTCTCAGCTAACTATTCTGCCAATAGGCCATGCGGTTCCCCATGAACCAACACCGCCTGGAACTAAAGAGTGCGCAGGAGGCACGGGAGCGTGAGCGTGAGTTGGCCAAGGAGATCCAGGAAGGAGACATGGATGACGAGGATGCCGGCGGCGATTTCGATGCAATCTAGTGGGTGTGAAGTTATAAGCATACAGCAGCTTTTCGTTTGTAATCCTGTTATATCCCGTCCCGTTGGGGTTCAGAAACGGAGGGAAGCTTTTCAACAATGTGTTCTTATTTGCAGTGTCGTCGTTCGGGTGTGTATGAAGCAATGGGTAGGACTGAGCTTCGCCGGCGTGATCTCCCATGTCTCTTGTATGTCATTGGACCGGCTCCTTTGTACTGTTGCACAGGTGGTTTCTGCTGTAGATGCTGTTCGGCCTGCCGAGTTTGTCTCTTGCGGGGCGGAGGAGACGCGTGACCTTGGGTTTCTGTTGTAATTTCCCATCATAATAGATCAGAAAACCCTTGCAGCCATGAGCATGTGAACTGGATTGAAACAAATGTCTGTGATATTGTGTTTGTGAAATACTAAGTAAATACTGTAGTAGAGTGGTGTGGTGGAAGACGGAGGGAAGATACAGGGAGAGAACTGGATGCGGCAGGGACGGGCCCAGAGCCCCGACCCGGCCCGAGGCAACCTCCGTCTCGAAATCTTCGGCGGGTGTTAATTGCGCCTCATCCATCCATCCAGGCACTGGTGCGGCCCCGGACCTGGCCCGGCTTTCAATCATCCTCTTTCCCGGTATTATGATCTTAGCATCTTGTTTGACTCAATTCTAGCTACTCTCCTCACACATCCCCCGAAAATGAAAGCACGCACGGTGCCGGCATCCGGGCTGGTACTCTCGTCACGCGTCACGTCCTCCACGATAGTTTGCTGGCAATGCCTCCGGAATGAATTGGTTGCGAACCAATTCCAGCTCCAAACACGAAAATATCATCCCACAAAACGTAACAATGTATCGCCGCTCGGTGCCGCCGTCTCCGCAGCTCAGACCATCTTCAAAGGCCTACCCAAGGCACCTCCGGGCATCTCCGTCGACCCATTGCGGATGGTAGGAAAGGAACTCAAATTCTTGACGAAGAACCTCCGGCAGCTGCTCGGGTCCGGCCATCCTACACTGGACAAGGTGGCCAAATACTACACCCGCAGTGAGGGTAAACACATGCGGCCGCTTCTGGTGCTGCTGATGTCTCAGGCGACGGCGCTGTGTCCCCGGAAGACGGGCACGGACAACAATTCCGCAACAGTGAACGACCCAATCAGCTCGCCCTCAATTCTCGTCGATAAGAATCCGGACTTGGATGCGCTCTCATCCGGTAGTGCAGATGCGCCGTACGACTTTGCCGGCGACAAGGACATCCTGCCCACCCAGCGGCGGCTTGCTGAAATCACCGAATTGATCCACACTGCGTCTCTCTTGCACGACGACGTCATCGATAATGCTGAGTCCCGCCGTTCTTTAACGTCCGCCAACCTTCAATTCGGAAACAAGATGGCCGTTTTGGCGGGTGACTTCATGCTGGGTCGGGCCTCCGTCGCTCTCGCGCGGCTGAGGGACCCAGAGGTCATTGAGCTGATGTCGACTGTCATTACCAACCTCGTTGAGGGTGAGTTCATGCAGTTGAAGAACACGGCTGCGGACGAGAAGAACCCCGTTTTCACGGACGACACCCTTTCGTACTACCTGCAGAAGACATACCTGAAGACGGGTAGTTTGATCAGCAAGTCCTGCCGGTCGACTGCCGTGTTGGGTCACAGCGCTCCTGAGGTTGTCGAAGCCTCCTACCAGTACGGACGTAACTTGGGACTGGCGTTCCAGCTTGTGGACGATATGCTGGACTATACCGTGACCGAGGCTGAATTGGGCAAGCCAGCTGGCGCGGACCTGGAGCTTGGTCTTGCTACGGCCCCGCTGCTCTTTGCCTGGAAGCAGTTCCCAGAGCTTGGCCCGTTGGTTGGCCGGAAGTTCAGCCAGCCCGGCGATGTTCAGAAGGTAATGCGACCCTGATTGTAGCAAACAAGCTTTGTCACTAACATTGAATGATAACTAGGCCCGGGAACTTGTTTTCAAGGCCGACGGTGTCGAACAGACCCGTATCCTGGCCCAGGAGTATGCGGATAAGGCTGTCGCTGCGATCTCCGACTTCCCCGACAGCGACGCCAAGGCTGGGTTGGCCCAGATGTGCGAGAAGACCATGAAGCGGAGAAAGTGAGACGTTTGAGCGATGATCCATCAGCGTTGCTTTGGGATTGGCGTTCATCTGAGTCTCCCCTTGTTGAAATTGGGCGCTACACAATGCCCCTGTACCACTA